CGACTGCTTTATGTTGCGTAAGTTAATTCAAGAAGAAATACATATGTATCTTTTTTGTCTTTAAATATACATATGTATATCGTGAAGTTCATACGATTATTAACAATAGAAGCATACAAGTAAGTGCAATGTAAATTCATAATAATATATGCTACAATTTTAATAAAATGAAAATGTATATGTATGTATGTGGTCGCCAAAGAATTATATTACTTATATGTTCATATTAAAGAATAAAATAAAACGTAAATTATATATGTATGTATTCATAGATAATAAAAAATGGTAAAGGTACTAAAAACTAAAAGCTGTTAGATTACACGTTTCTATTAAGTTATATGCAAAATAAGTCATTTATTAAATAGCAGAAAATGCATTTTCAAAACTTGTTATACATGAACTCAAAAAAAATTTTAATTTCAAATTTATTGATTGTTTTCTGGCAGTTTATTAAAATAAAAAATTTATTTATTTGTTAAATGACCATTTCCGTTTTAATATATATATGTATTTTCACTGACGTATGGATGATTAAATAGATTATGTAGAGCAGAGTTGTAATAAAACACTCGAGTCATTAAAACCAGCTAAAATGATTTATGAAATGAACAATGTACAATTTTACTATGAAAGCATGTTATGCTTGTTATGTAAATGTAATAATAATGTTATATTACGCTAAAGAAATGTTTTAATTATAAGCATATGAATATTTTAATTATGTTTATTCAATATGAGAAAGTACAAAATTCTTAACTATTTACTTACCGCGACAAGGAAAATTTTTTTATAAGAACTCATCAAGTGCAAGCCAGCCGCCACCTACACGAACCATAACTGTGCTACGCAATATTCGCAATATTCGTAATTTTTGAGAGTCGAGTCGCCAAACTGTTTTATACAAAAATAATATTGTTTTAAATAGAAGATGGAGTATTAAGCTTTAAGATCCGATAATTAGTATTTTACGAACCCTATATTTCCCTTTGCCAACTTGAAATACGCAAAATTTTTGTCGACATGTGCAAAGGATAACAAGGCGTTTAACTTCATCATGTATTTTATCTGAATCAGTTGCTGGTTTGCGTTCTTGCCAATCGGGTCTCCACCATTACGATCAAAAAGATCTGCCACTGCACCCATTTCCATTCGAGAAGTGTCAAATTCTTTAAAAAATAAATAATAGGTATTCTACATTATTTAGTTATTCTACATTATATAAATAATCGTACTTATTATTCCATATATGAATTCGGCACGTGGTATTAAACCATTATTATCCTTATTCATTTTTCTAAACAAATCAGTCAAACGTGATTTTTTGTGATTCATATATGTATGTACATACCATAAGTATATATGAATATTTCAGGAAAAATATTTTAGGAAATATTTTAGGAAAAATATACAAAAACAAAGCCATGCATCATTTTCAGAAATATTGCCTCACATACTCTTTCATACAAAATCATTTAGAGTAGAATAAATAAAATGAAGAATATAAGAACAATTTAGTATTGATTATTTTTTTGTTACTAGCAAAAATTTGTTAAATTTGTAGTAACTATTTCTTTTGTTGGCGTGTATAAACAAATTTAAGGAAAATATTGCACACGCATTTTTTGTGTTATGCAGTTATTTTTATTAAATTTCACTGCAATGCGAACAACAATTAGAAATTTGTTTTGTTAAATTTTTTTGTCACTCTGCTTGCGGGACTTTGTTTAAATCACAAGATTATTGATGTAAATAAAGTCCCGTAATTTCATGGTCAATATTGTTAAAAAAATCAAAGTCGTCATGTAAAATACATACATATGTATATATATTTTATTTAATAAATTTTTTAGTCAAAATCCATATTCTTTAATAGATGACCCTATTAACTTCAAATTTTGTTAATAATTGCAATAATGATGAAATGAAATTTGTTAAAAAATTCAGCTTCAGTTTCAGTTTGAAGGATATATGCATGTATGTTTGACTAATAAAAAATATTGAATACTGATGATGGGTATAAATTACATATGTAAATAATATTGTTCAGTCTTCAATTAATTTCTACCGATATTAGTTTATTTAATAATACTTAGATGACACATCATTACTTTGCACACATCATTACTTTTGATTTCAGTTATTATTTAACGTGCTAATATTCTACATTAGCGGTTTTACAAATAAAGTAAATATAACAAATACAACTTTTGTTTTACATACATATGTATTTACATAAATAAGGTATAAAAACATTACACAAATAAATAATATAAAAACACAATAAACATATAAAACATACATTAAAATATTATGTATTCAATAATTATTTAAAAACACAATAAACATATAAAAGAAATAATAATAATATATTATTAATAAAATCCATCTTATTTAATGGATGACCCTGTGCGCTTCAAATCATGTTTGGTTTTGGTTTTTTCGTCTATGACTACAACCGTACGCATGTTGTAACTGTAAACAGGACAAGAGAGGGAAGCAAGGGCTCAAGTAGGCAACTAACACGACGCCAATAATTAAATGCTTGAAAAATAAGAAGTAATAATTTCAAAGAATTTATGCACTGCATGTGCAGAAAAGCAATCAAATATTTTGTGAAAAATATACAAAAACAAAACCATGCATCATCTTCAGAAATATTGCCTCACATACTCTTTCATACAAAATCTTTTAGAGTGTGCAATAAGAATGAGGAATAGAAGATGTTTGGTGCCATTTCTCCGTCCGCTCATCACAATTATGTTTTTTTTCCGCTATGACTCCATTCGTAGGCACACTAATAACTGTGTATGTGTGTATGGGTGCGCATTAATATGATATACATATGTCATGTTCTCTTTAAAATATTTGTACAAAACCTATTGTGTTGGTAATCAAAGGCAAATTGATTTGAAGTTTACAGGGTTATGCATTAAAATATGTGCAAGCGTTTTTATATTATGCAGTTATTTTTATTAAATTTCACTGCAATGCGAACAACAACTAGAGGTATGTTTTGTTGAATTTTTTTGTCATTATGCTTGCGGGACTTTGTTTACATCAAATTATTATTAATGTAAATAAAGTCCCGTAATTTCATGTTCAATATTGTTGAAACAATCATGGTCGTCATGTAAAATACATACATACATATATTTAATTTAATAAATTTTTAAGTTAAAATCCATTTATTTTAATACATGACCCTGTTAACTTTAAATTTCGTATTGATTATTTTTTTGTTACTAGCAAAAATTTGTTAAATTTGTAATAACTATTTCTTTTGTTGGCCTGTATAAACAAATTTAAGGAAAATATTGCACACGCATATGTTATGTTATGTAGTTATTTTTATTAAATTTCACTGCAATGTGAACAACAATTAGAAATTTGTTTTCTTGAATTTTTTTGTCACTCTGTTTGCGGGACTTTGTTTACATCAAGAGATTATGGATGTAAATAAAGTCTCGTAATTTCATGGTCAATATTGTTAAAAAATCAAGGTCGTCATGTAAATTACATATTTTTAATTCAATCAATTTTAATTCAATCAAGTTGTTTACAGTTTTATTTTTACTGAATTCAAAAAATAATACATATTGAAAATTTGATCCTACAGGCGAAATATAAGTGGCCGTTCAACACCATCGGGCATGCAAATTATTGATTTATTTATTATAATTAATTAATTATAATTAGTATTTATAATTAGTAATATGTATATTTAGTTTTGTAAGTTGTTTGATTTTTCCCTGTTATATATATATATACTAGATAACCCGACAAACGCTGTTTTGCCTTATAAATTATTTCTAGTTTCTAGATAAATTCTAGTGTAGACAAAAAGTAACTTACTTATTATAAGTGTGTAAGTATGTGGTATATGCATGAAATAGGCATGGAGCGCTATGAACGAAAAGGATAATAAAAATAACAAACGCCAAACAATATTATTTTTAAGTTATTATAGTTTATTTATTAAATTATTAATTTAAAATCAATAGATTTTATGATACCAAGTTCCCTGGCAACAACTGTTGTATCTTCAAATTTAAATTGTCTTGGATTGACTGTAAATAATAATAATGATAATGGGCCAGTAACATTAACCAACAACAGTCGAAGATAAAAGTACTCAGTGTGTCTTGGATTAACTATAAATAAGCGTTTGATTTAAATAAATTGAGACATGCATCAACTGGTGAAACTTGCTTGCGGGGCATCCATTTTTTTGTTTAAGGCCATGTGAAATAGCGTGGTACTTGTGAATAGAGTAATGTTTTTGCAAAGGCACCAAAATCATCCGTACTATTAAACAATTCAAAAAATGCAGTGAGTGCAGATTTAGGTGGATTTGTACCACGATCAATCACTGTCTCGTTCGTGAAAAATACACGCTGACCATTTTCAAGATGGACGGCTACCTGAACAGCTGCTGGATCCCGTTCATGAATTAGAAAGCCGAAGATACGCCAAGCAGCTTCATTGGAGGTGATGTACCGACCAATTTGGTAGAGCGTAATTTCACCGTTTTTGTTCATTGGAGGAGCATTTACATTAGTATTTTCTACTCTAAACACAGCCATACCACCGCCTTTATGGACATACTTATATATTTGATGCTCTTCACAGAACTGCAAAACTCAACATTAATATAAGCATTGTATGTCTTGCTTAGCAGAGGCGAATACGTTACCACCCGCCATTGTCCCCCATTATCGGGATTTCTTCGACGATATATTGGATATCCGTCGGTATTTGTTATAGTATCATTAGTGAAATCTTTAGAAAAATTTTTAGTACATTTTCCATCTGCCATGCAAGCCGAAGACGAAGAACGAAGTCGATGTAAATGCTCGATGTACTTGTTGGCGTAGTTACATAAAATATTAAGAAAAAATTTTTCTTTTTCAAAAATATAAACAAAATTTATGTCAAAAAAATAAAAAATTTTTTGTTAAGCACTAAGGATATTTTTACTGGGTAGGGACTCCCTAATCACTTTAGCGGTATGAAAAATAGATAGTAGCCGATTCTCAGACCTACTGAATACGCATATAAAATTTGGTAAAAATCGGTAAAGCCGTTTCGGAGGAGTACGGTAACTAACATTTTGACAATGTTAATTTTATATATAAGATACATTTGTATATATGTTTTCTTAAATTTAAACTATAATTTAGAAGAATAACAACTCCAAAATAAAATTTTTAATCATAATTACAAAAAAAAATCGTTATATCTTTATTATTGCTATTTTTTTTGGAAATAAATCACATAGTTAACATTGCACAGATAATTATTTATTAGTATGTTTTTATTTTACAGAAAGTATGATTCATAACAATAATATAATTTGTTTATATGTATGTTCTTGCGACACATAACTTTCGTGATATAATTTAGTAGTTTTCGTGAGAAAATTATGTGCTAAGTTATAACTCTAAGTACAAGATTGTTACATGACACACTATGATTTATTTCAATATTTTTAATTTATTCATTTGATATAAATTATACTTCCTAATATAAATCAATGTATTTTACTTATTTAAAGTAATTTATTGATTGATTTATTGATTTTATATAACTAAAACCGATTAACTTTTTTATTTAATATTTCTGAACATGAACTCTCCACATCTATCATTCTCAAAACTAATAACTAATTGGCATTCAACATAATGATTTTAACACTTAAACAACTTATTGCAATTATTAACAAATAAGAAATAAAAACAACGATAACAAATAATATATAAAGTAATGAAGGCATGAGTAGATCATCCAGTATACCAGCTTTAACAGGTTTCGGCTTCAAATATAGATAAATTAAGAACATTAAAGTAACTATTATAAGATATTTATTTAAAATACTTAATTAAATTCTTTCTGAAACTCTAAATATAATATACAAATCATTTATGTTTATAATTAATATTAAATAATTAAAAGCCAGCAATCAAGGATTCCCATTAAAGTGCTATCATTCGATCATACATCGAATTCTTCACTTACAAGTTCACAGCATCGAAAAGTACTAATCAACCAAGCAGTTCAGGGTAAATCAAGTAAACGTATAACGTATTTAACCAAGTTGATCAATTTACAAAATTTTAATACGTTTGTTTTTATTTATTTATGAGTGAAGCTTATAATATTTTTTTTTAATTATTTACTTGTTATTCTCAAATTAAATATGAAATTTAGAGCTTAGTTTTAAAACGAATAAAAAATAATTTTAATAATACTAAATATTTATGCATGATAATTATTTGCTAAACAATTTTCCTGCTTGCCTTTTTTTATGATAATATCCGTTACTTACGATTATCTCT